AAAAGAGAGTTATAAGAATAATAATAGGATGTGGTTTCAGAGAGTCATGCAGAAAACTGTTTAAGAATATGAATATATTCCCTTTAAGAACACAGTATATATACTCTCTTCTGATGTTTGTAGTAAAAAACAAAAAATTATTTGATACAAATAGGGATTGCTGTGATATAAACACTAGACATAATATGGACATACATTTTACACCCGCCCCACACGCTTTAATACCACGCGGTGTATGCCTTGACTAAATTCAGCGGAATGAGTCTTATATCCCAGGGGTACACGGGTGTTGGCTCGCTTACGTCGTTTTTTTGGATGCGGGCTCGATCGGTTAACCCCCTAGCACAGGTTCCACATGAGCACCCTCACTCCCTGGCTTCTCCTCACTGACTCCCCAGCTTCCACTCACTAACTGACTCATTATCCCCGCTGCTGCTTCCAGAAACCACGTTCTTAGCCATCTCGAACTTTCCACTGGAAGGGCTTCATGACCAAATGCACGGACCCCTTCCGGTCTGCACACCTTCTAGAAGTTTCTCGAAGCTTCGATCCACAGGTCCTCCACCCCCACAGGCACTGACGAAAGAAGGTATATCTACTCCCCCTTGAATGCAATGGACTCACCAACCTCCCTTCTCTCCCTCACAACAAAAGGCCAATTCAGAGGACCATCATCCCTCCGGGGCATCTCATTTCTACAGCTAAACTTAACCATTACTTACAAACAAATAAGACTTTCCGTGAAGGATGCGTACTGTTACAATATGAGCCAGGTAAATTTGGCGAAATATGGTAATGAGGTAATTCACATGGCCGTAAGGATTTACAATGCACTACCTAATAAAATTAAAGTAATTTGTAATGATATAAATAAGTTTAAAAACAATTTAAAGGAATTTCTTTATTTAAACTCTTTTTATACACTTGATGAATATTTAAGAGATAATGATTATACAACTTATTATGCCGTAGAATTTCGGCAAGGGTTTTTGTAACTTTTAGGTATTAAGCTATCTTGTGTTCACAGTAGAGAAGCTAGACGAAGGATTAATGTTTGAAGGAGAATGCGGAAGTGGCAATGTCAGTGAGAAATTGTCACTTTGCATAGACCGCTGATCCACGCGGAACAGACAGCAGATGGCCAAGGCGGACAGAGTGCCGACTCAGTGAGATGGCCTGAGGAGATCCAACCCTCTTTATCCAGCTGACCAACTAGAGATACGAGAGCTGGACCTTTGGGGGAGCATTCGCTCTAGTGAAGGGGTGGAGCTTACCCCAAAGACAGGAGTCAGAAGGGGGAAGGTTATAAAGTTGCTAACACAACTTGAGGAGCTATGTTTTCAGATCAAACAATCTATCTTCTGATTAACTATTGACTACCTATTGATCAACGTAACTGAGTGTACAATGTTAAGTGAGTAACCAGCCAGAGCCATGGTCATGCCAGACCAAGTGAGGGGACACCATCAGCTTCCTACACCAAGTAAGTTGAACTGTTCATATCAGTCATGGCTATATAGTGAGATATTATTAAAGTGTCATGTTACAGGGTTAGGCAGAGAGTGGAGATGTAGGAATTACCTCGAGAGCTAGGGATGGTGAACCCAAGTGTAATGTGTACGTAACTGACAACTGTCGGCTACGAAAGTGATATGTATATATAGTGTATATATTAGTAGACGAGAGTAGACCGAGTGAAGGGGATGTGTGGTGTTAATGACTTACCCCGCAGTCACACCCTCTATTTCCCCGTTCTCCCGTACCTCCCTGTGTTATCGGGACTGTGAACTCACAGCCAAGAGGTAGCTAACGAGACAAGTACCAAGTGCTTTGCCTTGCAACTGGCCATTCCCCAAGGGCGCAACGGCACGGATGGCGGAAGAGGTGGAGCGAATCCTCCACGCCCCCTTTGTGCCATAACACAACTATATAAGTGTATAAGATGTTGAGTAATACAATAAATTAATAATCATCATGAATATGAGATAATCATACTTATAATTGAATGTTTTTATATGTTCGATTTGTTGTATATGTTAAACCTATATGACTAAAATATTCTGTTACTTTCATGGAAGCTTTGATCTTAAAATTTTATTTTAAATGACAATTTAAGTGTATTGTACTAGAAAGTAGTTGTAGGTTATGTGACAAACTTTTTCATATACTATAGATCTTTTAACAATTGCGACCTGTGTGTGTTATCCTGACAACTTGGGCTGTCTGTACGAAGCCTCATTGTATGTTTTATTGGACTAGGGACAAATGATATGTAGTCATCATGAAATTTTAATTTTGTAATTTTATAAATGTAATGTTTTTATATGTTGGATTTGTTATATATGTTTAAACTATATGACCAAAATATTCTGTTACTTTTGATGAAAACTTTTATCTTAAATTTTAATCAATGATAAATTTGAATGTATTATGCTAGAGAGAAATTGTATTATGATGTAAACATGCATTGTCTTATTTTATAAGTCTTCTTGACAATTGCTTATGAGTATTAGCAAGATAAATTGACACAATTCTGTATCTAAGGCTTCTGCCTACTGTAGAGTAATGGAATAAGAAAAAAAACCCCAGTAAATGGGTTTTCAGTGTTTCTTTTAAGGCATTTTTACTAAAGTAATTTGATACATTCCACTTTTGATAAAAATCTGTCAGCAATAATGGAGACTTTGTGTGTTTTTCGTGCATTATGCAACTTGATAAATATTTATCACAGTGGAAAGTGTTTCAAACAAAAAGAGAAATGAAATATTCTTATCACCAGTACAGTTTCTTCTAAGTGTTACACTTCATGAGTCTGTTCTTCAGAAGGGAAGAAATCTGCCAGAAACATTATGCTGTGCATGAACTAGTTCCCCTTAAGAATATGAAAATGTTGATGAATCACTCAGCATTGTCCTCACCTTTAACATTATGTGAACCAGGAAACTGTTAGACATAGCAGTTGTGCACAGATAGCATATACACTGTTCCTGGTGTTCCTGACATGTTTGGGAAGGAGAATGGCAGCCTAAAACAGGAAAATTCGTCTGTTTGATGTGCCATATTCAGTCATTAGAAGCCTCAAGGAACTGGAAACCTTCACCTCAAATTTGTATGAAAGACAAGTAAACCAAATGACACTAGATTCGATATTCAAGAAAGAATGACATTTCAGAAGAGACTCTTGGACTTTATAACCAATACAGCAGGAACATGTAGGGTATATATGGGAGTGTGTAATTATTCAATTTAAAAATAAGTCTCTTTTGTTAGTTCTCTGCAAAGGACATAACTAATTCTGTAAACATTTTGAAGCCTGCCCTTTTAAAATATTTTCCTTCTTGGTCCCTTAGAAAGCTTCTTAATAAAAATGGATCCACTGTATATGTTGCAGGTCAGCAAACATGGGAGTATCCTGACCTGGCACAGCTTGTCAGCATTGCTGGATCCACATTTGGAGCTAGTTACATGGCAATGAAAGCCTGGTGGTGTAGAGAAGACCTTATACACTGAAGAGCCAAAAGTTATGGGATAGGTACCTAGTATCGTGTAGGACCCCCTCTAGCCCAGCGAAGTACAGCAACTTGACGTGGCATCGATTCCTCAAGTGGACTGAAGACCTCTGAGATGTTGAGCCATGCCATCTGGATAGCCATACACAGCTCCCTCGTACTTGTAGGTGCAAGATTTTGGGTGCGAATGGACCTCTCCACCACGTCCCATAAATGCTCGACTGGGTTCATCTCGGGCGAACGTGGTGGCCACACCATTCGTTGGAAGTCTCCAGAATGCTCCTCAAACCAATTCTGGACAACTCCGGCCTGACGACACGGTGCATTGTCCTGCTGTAATATCCCATCGTTGTTGGCGTACATGAATTCCATGAAGGGCTACAAATGGTCACCAGTCAATGACATGTTTAGGTGGACGAGCAGACCCAACTCATGTCACGTGAACACACCCCACACCAGTCTGGAACCACAACTAGCCTACACAGTCCCTTGTTGACAACTGGGGTCCATGGTCTCATGGGGTCTGCGCCACTCCCGAACCCTACCATATGCCCAAAACAACTGGTACCATGACTCATTTGACCACACCAGAGGTTGCCAATCCTCCAGGGTCCAATTAGCAATGTCACAAGCCCACGTGAGGCACTGTGTCTGGCGTCGTGGTGTTAACAGAGGCACTATGGTCGATCTTTTGCTCCCATATCCCACAGAAGCTAAAGAACGCTGCACTGACCTGCTGGATATGCATCTGGTACCTACTGCATTGAATGTGGATATAATTTCAGCCAGTGTTGCTTGTCTGTTACCACGGACAATTCTAGCTAGACGCCACTGGTCACGATCATTAAGCACTCGTGGTCGGCCACTGCGCTGTCCAGTGGGTGGAAATGCCTTCCACAAGGAATTCCCGGTACACACGTGACACCGTGGATCGAGAAATGTTGAATGACTGCACAACTTCGGAAATGGAATGTCCCATCCACCAGGCACCCACTATCATGCCCTGTTCAAACTCCGATAATTCACGTCAGCTTGCCATAAGCAGACTGGCCGGTGTTCAACCTGACTTGTGAGAGAACACCTCACAACTGATACTGCTCTTGGCATACCCAAGCTGTCAAGGGACAGTGGTGCCACTTAAAAATAAATTTACTTACTGCTATCCCATGACGTTTGGCACTTGAGTGTATGTGATATTTGGAGTCTGTAATTCAGTGAGAGTGTTATACTTCCTGTGTTTAAATACACTGCCAGGAAACAGCTAGAGGAGATTGTAATAGATTCAGGACACTGATCTGTAAAGTGTATGTAGTCACTCGTATGCACAATATGTAGCCTCAGTTAATACATTAAACTAACTATGAATAAAACATCTTTTCATATGGCCTGTCTGAATTCAAAATAATTATCACAAAGTTTGGCTGTGAGATGTCAAACAAGTTCATTACAACATCTACCAATGCAGAAAATTAAAGAGGTGGCAACACAATCTGAGGTAAATATTTTGTTTATTACATAAATAACTCTTGCAACATATAGGAACATATTCAAGCACAAACAAATATAAGGAACATATCAAGTATGCATAACTAAATTTTACTTATTAGTACCTAAAGAAAAAAAAAACATAATTAATATTTGCCTTGACACAGTCTATTTTATGTTTAAGGCGTGTAAATGCAAATCCTTCCAAATCAGTCAGGAAGTCAAACTGCACCACCATGACAGTCAGATATTGTTGCACTGTACTGCAAACAAAAGATGACACAGGTAAAGAACAACTTATTCTAACAACGGTATAGTTAGGGGCCATCAACACTCAAGAACTCCCCAGCATTTTATGGAACCGAAGGTTCATTACCGTGTTCACAAGAGCCCCCCACTGGTCCCTATCCTCAACCAGATCAATCCAATTTATACCATCCCATCCTATAGGGACTGCTCAGTAATGAAAATAGTACCAGGGGTCCACAAATATATCTGTCTGCTCAGCCATTAAGTAAAAGTGGTTAATGAATGGAAAAATCTTTGAATTTATTCACAAACATTCCCTCTTGCTTTCATTTCTCATCTCTCCGTAGATGATGTTATATTACACAAGGGACAGTATTCTACATGTCATGTACACTTTGTAATGAGAGGTAGCAGAGTTAGGGGAATTTAAAATTGCATAGGTAGGCACAGGCTCTCTTCTGGAGACATGTCTGGGGAACACAGGCAAAGAGCACCAATATACGTCAACCCCCGACTATTAATATTTGACAAGTGGTATGGGAATATCTTCAACAGAGATAGTAGATGTTAATGTACATTTAACTTATTTATTACAAATACAGGTATGCTACATGTTTTGACCACAATTCAGACATCATCAAGCCTTAAATGAACATATGTCAAATAATTAAACGCACTGGGTACAATACGGATCCATATTAGTTAACAGATTTCTGTATTGTAGCAAATATATCTTGGGAATATATTCAAAATATTAAAAAGGTAAAAACTGATAAAAATGGACACATTATTAAATGATATATGATACGAGTGACAAATTGACAGAAAATATACTATAAAAATTGATATCTAAAATTTCAAACTAAAAGCTTTGTTAGGTCACGTGCAAACTTTAGCAGCCATGTTGGTTGTATTAGTTCCATGTTGTCATGGAGTTTATAAATACAATTTTGTGGGATGTGATCCGTTGGTTAATTGTTGCGTTTCTCTTGGTTATATACAGCAGGAGCAGAGTATACTAACTAAAATGCAAAGAATGCCCTATGAAATACATAGGAAAGACAGGGCATACATTTAAAATCTGCTTTAAAGAACACATTCAAGATAACAGAACTAGCAGATGCAACTCGAAATTTTCTAAACACATCCTAGATACTGGACATACATACAACACGATAGACCAAACTATGAAAATCCTAACATCGAGAAAAAAGGCCACAAACTAAACACTCTCGAACATTTCGAAATACACAACCTGAGAAATCAATACAACTGACTGACACACATTCCATGACACATAAACCCAGTTTTGATTTTAATATTTCTTCTGCCACTGCCCTGAGGGAATCTGCCCTACACAAACTTCAAACATTCCATGTACCAAATCTGTTATAGTATTAATAACAATCAAAATCACTTTTGTATTAATTTTGTTATAGTTTGAATGTTGGCGTCTTATATCTCTATATTGTGTAGAGGGCGCTCCCTTCCATTCTTTTGTTTTGTTCTGTTCCGACAGTCTTACACAAAGAAGGGCCTCGTTCTTTGTGATTTTCTCTATAATTATTACTGTGATTAAACTGGTAAATTGAACTGACAATGTTATTTATTTATACTGCTTCCATCGTCTCAACAGGTTATGGGCCCAGGAACATTATTATAGATTTACCAGTGTTGTGTTAGTTGTGTGACTAAAATAGGGAAGCGATAAGTGAACAAAGAATAACAACCAACATGGAGCCTACAATTCAGATGTCCAAACTGAACAATGAAAATTGGAACACTTGGAAGTTTCAAATCAAAGTAGTTCTAACTGCGAAGGATCTTCCTGAATATGTTGATGGTACAAAAGAAGCTCCTACAGAAAGCGCTCTGTTGTCAACTTGGAAAAGGCAGGCGCTTGAGCTGAAGACGTGCTCGTCACCCGAATGGAGCTTATACCTCTTACCCATATAATGAACTGCACTACATCTCGTGAAATGCGGAAGAAACCACACTCCGTATATGAGAGGGAATCAAACGTTAGTGTTCATTTGCTGTACCAAAAATTTTACTCATTGAAATTTGAGGATAACAAGAACACCTATTTTACAGCAGTAAACCACCTAGTTGCTATGCTCAGACAAAGAGGAGAGGAACTCCCCAAGAAAATGGTAATCACCAAGCTCATTAGGACTCTTCCTGACGCTGATAAGCACTTTATTTCGGCATGGGAATCTGTATCAGAAACCGAACAAACGTTGGGAAAATTAACTGCTAAGCTGCTTATAGAAGAAGAAAGAATGAATGCACAAAAAGGAACAGTAGCCCTGGCTGCAAGAAAGTCGAGTACAGTTAACACCAATATAAGAAGAACAAGTCAGAACAAAAATTCTATGTGTGAAAATTGTGGAATTCCGGGCCATGCTAAACAAGACTGCAGGAAAAGGATTCAAGTCAAACAATGTAATTACTGCAAGAAAAAAGGGCATTGGCTGGCTGACTGCTGGTGTAGAAAGAAGAAAAATGAAGGGGGAAACTCAAACAGACAAGAGAACCGGACAAGTTCAACTAGCCAAGACAATATAGCAGTCATGAGTGTAAATTCCCATCCAATCAACACTGCTTGGTATTTAGACAGTGGAGCCACACAGCACATATGCAAAAATATCAACATGTTCGACACCTACTCCGAACTCAAGATACAAAAAGAGGTGAAGATAGGAGACGGAAAACCACTCAAGGCAATTGGAGTAGGCACAGTTAATGTTAAGTCATACACAGGTCAATAGTAGAGTGAATTCACCGACTACACAACACGTTTCTTATTATCACTACATGTTTCGACCTCAAGAGGTCATCCTCAGGTGTATGAACACGGCAGTATAATTACACGCGGTCACATTCACTTTTTCTCATTCGATCTTATCCAGATTTATGCTCACTAATATACTGAGTTCTTTTATAAAACCCAGGTTAAAATTATTCTAATTAGAATAATTTTAACCTGAGGATGACCTCTTGAGGTCGAAACATGTAGTGATAATAAAAAACATGTACTGTATGTACCGGACATGTGTACAAATCTTTTCTCTCTGGGTACAGCCCTAGACAAAGGTTTTTATTTGCATTCAGATAGCAAAACCTCAAAATTGATAGAGAACAAGACAAATAAAGTGTGTGCTGTGGCAAAGAGAGAGGACAAAAAAAGGCTCTACAAACTGAACTTTGAAATAAGCAAAAATTCTGATTTTAAAGATGAGTGTTTAGTCACAGACTCAAAAGGGGATCAGACCAAGAAGACACTTATGTGGTGGCATAAGAGGCTTGCACACGGACATGTAAATCACTTAAAGAAGTTATTGAAAGAAAAAGGGATTGAATGGATTGATGAAAAGAAACCTTTCTTTTGTGCAGCATGTGTACAAGGCAAACAGCATCGAGAACCATTCCCAGTGAGTAAAACAAAGACTACAGAAGTTGGCGCCATAATTCATGCTGATATCTGTGGACCAATGGAAGTAAGCTCCATTGATAATTCTCGATATATGCTGGTATGTAAAGATGATTACTCTCACTACAGAGTTGTTTATTTCTTAAAAAATAAATTTGAAGCATCTGAAAAAATTCAGGATTTTGTAGCTTTGTGCCAAAATGAGACTGGGAAAACTGTCAAAGTTTTAAGAACTGACCAAGGTACTGAATTTTTACAACTGAAGAAGTTCCACGAGAAGTCAAATATTAAGCATCAGGCGTCGGTCACGCACACGCTTGAACAAAATGGCAAAGTAGAAAGAGAGATGAGGACCATAGTAGAGGCTGCCAGGACAATGCTAGCTGAAAAAAATATTCATAAAAGATACTGGGCTGAAGCAGCCAATACAACTGTTTTCATAATAAACATAACTGGAACAAGCTCGGTGGAAAACAAAACTCCTTTTGAGCTATGATTCAACAAAAGTTATGATCCAAAATGTAACCGAACCATTGAAATCCTTCCCCCCCTCTTTTTATTTCAGTAGTTTACGTATAAAGTAGAATTGTAAGAATTACTAAGAAACAGGAAGACACAGTCAGAACAAACAGATAGACCGAACTTGCGCGGACAAAGACATCTGTTAGTTCTTGCTTCCAAACATCTGGTGCTGCTTCGAAAAGGGCAGAAATGATACTTTATGGAACCCCCACTGAGTTTCTTTAGAAATTCAGAAGTTGACTTACGGCGGCAAGACACTTTGAGAATTCGAGACGTGACAGTCGCCCCCCCGTCATAAGTCAACAGTGGGAGGGCCAGGGGTTCATTAGCGACCCTCATAAGTTGCATCTCTGTCAATTTCGCTATTTAGGATTTTAGGCCGAAACTGCTTCTAAACCAATCGGTCATTGGCCGGAACCAAAATTAAGCCAACTCCTCTTATTTGAATCCACCTATCCGGGAATTTAGGAGGAGAAGAGAGGAGGCGGATACAATTAAGTTAGGACCTCTGGCTCGGCAGAGAGTCCAGTTTAAGATTAGAGGAGTCTGCTAAAAACTTTCGAACGTGGCGGAGGTAAACCCCGCAAATATACTTGCGCGTTAAACTAAATAATTTGAGCAAGTACAGCACCGGCGGCTTGGAAGCCGAGACTAAGCCTTATAGTGTAGATTTTTGACTCCGAGTGACTGTGAGAAACAATAAAGTGTTCCAGTGGCAAAGTGCATTGTGTTGGTCAGAAGTGCTTCACCCTCACTTGTCCGAGCCTGACCCTTAGCCGACCTGAGGAGAGAACTCATCGCCAGGAGCTAACCAAACCCATCGCCAGCTTCCACCCCACTCACGCCTTCCCTCCTTTAAAATGAATCGCAAACAGCACCTAGCTGCTTGCTGGCGCCCCTAATATCAGGTTCTATACGGGAAATTCCAATCCCGTAATCAGCAACGGAAGGAGGAAGCGGTGGAGCCTGGTCAAGCCGGAACCAGCCACGACCTAATAACTTCAACGGAGGCAACACCAGGTAGGGCAGTCAAAGTGACAAGTGGCAACCACCTTGTGGGCAAGAAGCCTAAAGAGAGGGTGGACGGTTAGAAAAATCACTGAATGCAGTTTTTGGAAGTGATATTTGGGTTCACATCCCAAAGCAACTACGTAAGAAGTGGGACATGAAAAGTAAAAAGGAGATTTTTGTTGGATTTGGAGAAAATACAAAAGGGAACAAAATACACTTGCCTGATACTGACAAAGTAACCTTAGAAAGAGATTTTATATTTGTTCAAGAAAAGGAAGGCGAACAGTACACTGAATATGAAAAAAATGATCCAAGCCCAACTCAAATTGAAGAAATGGACGACATTGCACAAGAACAAACTGAAGTCCAGGACGATGAACTGTATCAGGAAGATGATCCACCAAAACAACAGCAAAATGTCATGCAACTAAGAGAAAACCTTCGGAAACCCGACAGGTACTCAGACTATGCCACAGCTTATTTTGGTGCCATTGATATAGATGAGCTGATAAAACTATGAGGACGCAATGAAATCTCAACATGCAACAGAGTGGGAAAAGGCCATCGAAAGGGAACTTCTAGCTCTCAGAGAGAGTGACACTTGGACTGTGGTGGATAAACCAGTGAAGTGCAACGAAATAGACAGTAAGTGGGTGTTTAAAGTAAAGAAAAATGAATACAATGAAATCACACAGTTCAAAGCTCGACTGGTAGCTCGTGGTTTCCAACAGAAAGGGTTACAATATGATATCTATGCCCCTGTGGAAAAGCTGCAGACTTTTAGGATACTCTTAGCTGTAAGTGTCAATCTTGATTGGACCATATATCAAATGGATGTCTGTAATGCTTTCTTACATGGATATATTGCTGAAGAAGTTTACATGTCACTGCCAAAGAATTGTAATTTACCCAAAGATAAAACTTGTAGGATAAACAAATCCATTTATGGTTTGAAAAAGGCTCCTAAAAACTGGTATAAACGTTTTGATTCTTTCATGAAAGACAATTTGTTTGAAAAATCAAAAAGTGATTATTGTTTGTATATCAAGGTAGAACAAAATGAAAGGATTTATGTTTTAATATTTGTTGATGATTTGATTATCACAGGTTCAAATGAAGATAAAGTCAACAAACTAAAAACTGGTTTGTCAAATGCATTTAAGATGAAAGATTTGGGGACAAGTTCTTACTATATAGGAATATCAGTACATCAAGATATTGAAAATGGTGTTGTCACTTTGGATCAAGAGAATTATTTAAAGAATGTACTTGATCGCTTTGGCATGTTAAACTGTAAGGTTTCCTTTACACCTATGGATAAAAATTTTGATCAGAACTTACTAATAAAGGAAAAATCTGAAAGTTCTGAACTGGAATCAAAATGTAGACAGGCCATAGGCTCTATTATGTATGCAGTCTTAGGTACTCGTCCTGACCTTCGTGCAGCTGTGAGCTTGCTTAGCTGATATCAAATTTGTGCAAGCATGGAACTGTGGAGATGTATATAGCGTGTAATGCGTTATATTAAATAAACTATTGACTTAAAATTAGTATACAAGAAAGGAAAAGATCAGGAATTGATTAAGGGATTTGTGGATTCTGATTGGGACGGAGATCAGATAGACAGAAAATCCACTACAGGGTTTTGCTTTCAAGTATAGTGTTATGGTGTACAAAAAAGCAACCCTGTGTTGCCTTGTCTTCCACAGAGGCAGAACATATAGCCCTGTGTGCTTGTGTATGTGAGGCTTGTTGGTTCCGTCACATTGTTATTGAACTAAATGTGGTTGAAGATATCAATCTGTGTGTGTCAATCTTTGAAGACAATCAGTCTGCAATAAAAATAAGCAGATCCTGTGAACAACCTAAAAGATTGAAACACATAGACATCAAATACCATTTTGTCCAAGAAAGGTACAGGATGGACTTGTTAAAATAAGCTACATAAACACTGGCAATCAGTTAGCAGGTATTCTTACAAAACCTCTGGGTAAAATTAAGCTTGAAACACTCAGGGGAAGAATGTTTGTTTCACAGTAAAATTTTGGTTTGTTATTAGATTTAAACTTTGTGAATAATTTCTTTTGATTTTTAAATGTTTAGAAATTGTTCATCAAAGTTCTATATTTTGATTGAGGGGGGGGTGTTATAGTATTAATAACAATCAAAATCACTTTTGTATTAATTTTGTTATAGTTTGAATGTTGGCGCCTTATATCTCCATATTGTGTAGAGGGCGCTCTTTACCATTCTCTTGTTCCGCCAGTCTTCCACAAGGAAGGGCGTGCTGAATTAGTGATTTCAGTGAGAGTCTGATGCTGCCTGAGAGTTTGTGTGTTCAACCTTCTTGTGACAAAGGGGGACATTACCCTGTCTCGTTCCTTGTGATTTTCTCTATAATTATTACTGTGATTAAACCAGTAAATTGAACTGACAATGTTATTTATTTATACTGCTTCCATCGTCTCAACAATATTAGATACTAAATGTGAATACAATGTAAGTCCCTGAAGGTAATAGGCTTACGGCAATCAACCAATCAAAATCGTACAGACCAGGAAAGGAGTGAATCGACTGAACAGTTCAAGCTCACAATAGAATGGATCACTCGTGTTGGGCCTCAGCTGTCCGGAACCAGGAAGTGAAACAGTGGAAGGGGGAAGGTAGTAAAAAGGGGGTGGGGCCCTGTGACGTAACGCAGACACGGCATTACAATTTAAATGATTAAGTAAAAATATACATGTTCCACCTTTCGATGTAGTCCTACAATAGCTGGCACCCAATTTATAATTTTCAATAACAATACTACTCAAATCTGTGTAACTTAAATGGTGCTCAGTTATGCAGATGATATGTGGACAATCTGGATATAAGAAGCTTAATAATTCGTTTATCCTATTATCTCAAGCCACAAATATTCTGATATATTTTCAGAGAATGATGTATAACAGGTGATTTGCTACCTTTATTTAATTTGGTAGAATGTACTGCACTTGAATTACATGTGTTATAGCGTTTAGTAGTTAATTTGAAATTTCCCATAAAGATCCTTTGCTTTTATTACAGGCTTCTTTCTAATATGCTTTACTAATGTATTTTCAACAATCTCAACTGAAGTCAGTGGAAAAAGTTGATTTACAGAAGAACTAATTGTTCAAGGTTGAACTTCATGATATCTGAGTGCTATGATATTTGTGCTGAGATTATTTTCCTTCTCTATAAGAGGAAAAATCTGAAGAACTAAACTGAATGATAGTATTTCTTTACCCAGATCATTCAAGCGTAATCCATGTTTAATACACAAGTGTCTATTTTAATTTATTCCCACCAGACTGAGATGTGGAAATAGTTTTTTGAGCTTGAGTAGTTTTCTATTAAAATTAGTAATTTCATCGAGAGTAATATTAGGACCTTTTAGGTCATGCCTTTAAAAAGAGACTGTTAAAAGAATCACAATCATATTAGTGACTCTCTTAATGAATTCAATAAAATCATTAAAAACCGTACTTAATTTTACTCTACCAACATCGTTTGACCCACAACAAATAATAAAATATTTGTCTATCAAATTATCAACATCTTTTGTAGCTTGTCCCAATATTATTTTGGTACCAGCTCCAGGTTTAATGTAACCACTTACTTGGAACTGATCATTCAAATAGTGTTTCATATTTTCTGAGTAGCCTCTTAGATGACTATCACCTATCAACAATATTTTATGGTTTGAAGATTTTGTGAGATTGTTTTTTACTACTCAGCAATTTGGGATATAATTCACTTACATAATTATGAAGAGTGACCACTTCCTCATCTCGATTATGCACTTTTTTTGGTACACCAATACGATCCTTTATATAATGCCTAGTCTGTGCATTTTCTGTATCACGATGATTCTTTAACTTCTTCACCGATGTAATTCCTTCTGTTTTAGATGCGCCATCTTCTCCAGCTGATGGGTAGTCCATTAGATTTAATAGAACGTTATACCGGTTATTAGTAGTTACAGGAAAGTATGGAGTATATGTACAGTTCCTATGTTCTTCTTTTCAATATTTCTATACCTTTTACATTCGGTCGTTAGCCAACTATTTTGAGAGTCGTCCGACTTCACATTCACCGCTACACCACGTATAACCTCAAGTCTGACGGAAGTCTCTTCAAACTCTTTAAACAAGAGATTATTTGTAAGATTTGAGGCTTTCACGGCGGTGACTATGTAGAAAGCAGTCTTCTGGGATTTGGCACCGTGTATATGTGGTGTTAACGTTTCGGAGGAACGTATCGCCTCCATCTTCAGGGTAGAAGAAAAAATATATAAGAAATCTGCAAGCGAAGAGACCGTGAGAACCGGTTTACAGATATTTTTTTCTTCTACCCTGAAGATGGAGGCGATACCTTCATCCGAAACGTCGGTTAACACCACATATACACGGTGCCAAATCCCAGAAGACTGCTTTCTTCAAGAGTTTATTTCGATTAATTCAGACATTCAGACCGTGTGTACAACTTAATCTCAGTCGCCATCTTGTTTCCTTGCACTCATTTGCTCATTTAGCCTTTCACCTTGACTGCAAGAGCTGCCCATTTCGCCTAGATAACCTTGTCATATTATATCAATTACTTTTCAAACTTTAAGTACCGTATTACATGGCAAACAATTTTATATATATGTATTTAGTATTAGTGGTGCCTATTTATTAGTTTTACAATTTATTTCCAAATCCAACCATCAATTCTCCATTGTGACGACCGTGACGATTGTGACACCTATCGGATGATGTAGAAGTTACAAATTCACGCATAAAGCGACAATCGATGTGATTGGAGATTGAGAAGTGCTATACTATATAGTGTTCGCCGGCGACCAATTAGGGGCCGTGTTTCATTATAGATATGGATACGTAGGTAGCCATTTTCAGTTATACACATAAGTAGCAGAGAGAAGGCCTGGAGGCCTGGAGGGAGAGGTTCAGTTCTTTTTTACAGATACTAAAACATTTTTTGCAGGAAACATATCAGTATGTTAGTGCTGGAGTTTTAATAGGTGATTTTCAAGGTGTTCCGAAGTCCTGTTTAATATGGAATCATGAGTTGCAGATGTTAAACTGTTTTTTAGTTCCGTTATATCTGTGGTTTCCCAATGAGATTGTGAACAATTACTAAACTAAGGCGATTTTATTCTGTTGGAGTTAAGTGTGGTGAGAATGAATACATCTAGGGTGAACAGTTACTAAACTAAGGCGATTTTATTCTGTTGGAGTTAAGTGTGGTGAGAATGAATACATCTAGGGTGAACAGTTACTAAACTAAGGCGATTTTATTCTGTTGGAGTTAAGTGTGGTGAGAATGAATACAACTAGGGTAAATATGTCCAAGGTAGCGAAAGAGGTAGCCGAAGAACATATTATACCTCGTTGATTCTATCATGAAGAATGTTGGAGATGTATATACTTCGCTCTTCACTCAGAACTTTGTTTCAACCTTGTACGGTGTTTTTGAAAAGGTATTACATATTTTGATTTTTCGGGGGGGACTCTCGTTTGGGGTGTATTCATTTCCAGGTCCATAGTGCGGCTGGAAGGATTAGGTAAATTGAAAAAATCCAATGACCTCATAGGGATTCAATCCCATGACCTTCCGGCTTGTAGCGTAGTGCCTCAACCAATTATGCTACTGCATGCTCCCGGAAACAGCTGATATACATGAGAGTAAATGTGTGTAGAAATGCTGAATTATTTTGTCTGTCCTGATGTGTGATTTTGATCAATAATCTGCCCATTCATGAACTTTGTTTTGTTACCGTAATGTTATCCAGCTCCAGGTTTTGAGACCTTGATAGCTTACAATGTAATCTGTAAAGTCTTGATACAAAATTCCTTGGAATACATGTAGACAGTACACTGTCTTGGAAAATACATATTGAACAAATTATACCTAAATTAAATGCAGCTTGCTATGCGATGAGATCAATTAAGCCTTTTATGTCACAGGAAACATTGAAGATGGTTTACCATGCCTACTTTCATTCTATTATGAACTATGGATTAATATTTTGGGGGAACTCTTCACATAGTGTAATAATTTTTAAAATACAAAAGAATATAATTAGAATCATTACAGGATGTAGAAGTAGAGATTCATGTAGAGAATTATTTAAGAAATTAAAAATTCTACCTCTTCAATCGCAATACATATTATCGCTTCTCTTATTTGTTGTTTACAACAAAGATAAATTCAAATTAAATTCTGATGTCTATAACATGAATACTAGACAAAAATATAACTTCCACCTACCCTCATCAACTTTATCAGTATATCAAAAAGGAGTCTACTTTACTGGCATAAAAGTGTTCAACAATCTGCCACAAAGTATTAAAAACTTGGGCAGTGATACTAAAAAGTTTAAATCAGAGTTAAAGAATTATCTACATGCTCATTCCTTATACTCTTTAGATGAATACTTCAATGTAAATAGAGAATGATGTAAAATTAAGTTATATTAATTTTTAAGCTAAAATTGCCTGTACTTATATATGTAACCTTTTGACTTGTTCTGTATCCAAAGGTACTAACCTGCTTAGGATTTATAGAATGTAAATAAATTCAATTCAATTAAGTATTGTCTCCTCCCACCCCCAGCAGTACGTGGCGGCATCAGAACGCTGACGTTACTATGATAATAGGCAAGTCAACACCCCGCCCCTCTTCTCGCGGTGACGTAACATGGCGTCAGGCTACAGCGTAACCCATTTCGTAACAGGCAAACCCTGCGACTATATAAGGAAATATACAACTTATTTATTTGACTGTCACAACACAACAATTAAAGAAGTTCAAGGACAATGCCCAGATGTAGTTCTGCTACATGTTTTGGCCATTGGTGGCCATCATCAGGCAGAGACAATTCAACAAAGTACACCACTGAACTGCAGTACACAGAATTTTATACAGTGTTATAAATCATCTAAGATAATTTGCAATAAGAATACAATAAGAGGTTATTTAAAACCAATAAAAAGTCATATATAGAAAAACAAAATTAAAATTTGATTGATGTTTTATGACATCAAATCAGTCGTTGGTTTCACTTTTCATACGTTTCCATCGACAAATTGTAAATTCGATGTTTCTTTATAAAATTGTATAGGAGGCCCAATAATTAATTAATAATTAATTGTTTGTTGAATTGTGTCTGCCTGATGATGGCCACTAGTGGCTGGAACATGTAACAGAACTATATCTGGGTATTGTCCTTGAAGTTCTTTAATTGTTGTGTTGTGACGGTCAAATAAATAAGTTGTATATATTGTAACACAACAGGATGCACGAAATGAAAATTATAAACGCTTGTCAAGCTAGATGCATATATAAATACATGTTTGTTGAATTGTGTCTGCCTGATGATGGCCACTAGTGGCCGAAACATGTAGCAGAACTATATCTGGGCATTGTCCTTTAAGTTCTTTAATTGTTGTGCTGTGACGGTCAAATAAATAAGTTGTATATATTGTAACACATCAGGATGCACGAAATGAAAATTATATAAGGAACCTACACAGCCGCTGAAGACAGTTCTCAAGGCAACAGTTACGAGTTAGTTACGAGCTAGGCAGCAGTTAGTCAGCAGTGAACGATTTCTCAAGGCAGCAGCCTAAGAGTTGAATTGTAGTAGTCACTGAGTTCAGTTGTAACGAGTGAATCGTGATAGTGTGAATTGATTATTGCGAATAGGGTTATAAAGTGTGAAACTCTGCAACAGTGTGAAGAGATTATTGGAAATAGGGTTATAAAGTGTGAAACCCCGCAACATTGTTATAATTAATTGTAGCCAAGACTTGTAGATTGTTAAATAAACCAATTAACAATCCGGACGGCGTCTTCAGTAACTAAACACGTTACACTGGTGTCAGAAGTGTATATATATTTTTTGCCTTAAAATTCTGCAATTCACAACTGTTATCTATCTGTGTTTCATTATTGACTGATAAAAATAGCCAATCATATGCAAAGAGCAAAAAGCTGTTCATGATGGTAAAAGACTTGGATATATTCTCTTGTGCTACTCTTAATGTAAGAAATAGCTTGTTACAGAGGATATGGTTTCTTGCTACCACAGATATGAGTATTTTTTTTTCCTTTTGTGAGCATGGTCATGTCAGTTGGTGACAAGGGAGAAATTTTGCTGTAAGGAAACTTAATTTAAGTTAAAGTTGTATCTAATTGTTAAATGAGGTTGTTGGTCGTGTAAAGCATGAGGTATGCATCATTTTAATAATTCTTGCTGCCAAGTATTGTAGATGTGATCAAGAAACTATCATATATTATGGGACTGATTCATGTATTGTACTTCCTTCTTGTAGGTGGATGAGAAAACACAATGGCCCAGATGTTCATATCATGTGAAACTTGGAGTGAAGTGTTCCCGTCAGAGAAGTTGAATGCGGTAGATGTACATGTAAATGCAATGGATCCATCATGGCCAATCACAGCTGAGCCTCCTACCATATATGTGAATCCAAAGTTTTTTCGTGTGAGTATAAATACTGTTTTTACTGTTGCAGTTTTAAACTTGAAATTAATTTAGAGTTGTTAATAAATATTGCATCAGTCCTGTAATGTGTGATGGTGAAGCGATCATATTCCTGCATGTATTAAGTTTGGAGGAATTACAGGCTGATTCTAATACAGCAGTATTGCTATGTTGTCCTTGGTTATTCACAATAGAAATTTCTTGTTTACACTAAGCCATTAGTGTATATCTACTTCTCCCCCAGGCAGTTAGTTTAGCCTGGTTATCATAAACATTCTCATTGAGTCCTCTTTACAATGTAATATAAAACTAGCAGAAAGTAGTACTGTTTTCTTGGAAATGATGCCAAATAGTCTGGTAGAATGTTATCTACAATCTGAAGGGAGGAGGTTCTTGGTCTTTGGAAAGAGCTGGGAGAATTTGGAATCCCTTAGTTTAACCCATACAGTAACGGTATTTGTTTCACATTCATAGTTACATGAAACTAAACAGCATGGGCTTTACCATAAGGTGAGGGTAGAGTTTTTCCTGTTCCATTGCGCTATGTTGTGAAGGTGTAAGGAGGGGTGGTGACACAAGTTCATACATTAATTTCAGCCTTAGTTGAAACTGGTAGGTCCAGTATATTCTTCAGCTGCTTTTCTTTTAGAAAAAGAGACTTGGTATCCATTAGATAAGATGCTAGGTGGGCCCCAAAGTTGGGTGTGAATGTGATGGTGAAGATTAGAAGAACAGCAGAAACAGTTAGAGAGACAGACTGGACATCTGCATTCTGAGCAGGCAAGAGTGAGGACCTGCCATAGTGTCGTGCACAGTTTCTAAATATAAATACTAATGACCTACCTTACTGCCCGCTACACAGTCATTTTGTAGCAGGCAGTTATTGTTCAACTTTTGAAGAAGTTCCCAGTTGTTAAAACAGCACAGTTCAGTGGCATCATTAACCCTTCAGTCCCGGGGGCATATAAATCGTTTTTGCACTCCAATGCCGGTGGCTATTTAAATAATTTAATCGAAGAATGCAGCACTTCACTTAAAGCTTAATAAACGGGGAAAAACTGGAGTTCTGTTTTTCAGATTTTCACACAACGTCAAGAGAAGTATATAGAATTAAAGTATTGACCCACACTACTTTAAAATTATTTTTGGGCCAGTAAGCGTATAAAAATTATTAATTACCTTAAAAATTCAGCTATGTGTGGTAGTCGCGGAAACACTCAATGCTGCCCTCATTTCCAACAGCTTCAATCAAGGCACGATCATCTAACTTGCTTTCAGTGTCAAAATCCGAATCTGACAGACTTTGTTCGGAATCACTTTCAAGCAAACACTGTAAGTCCTCGTCACTCAACACAGCTGAACGTCTCTTGCTTGTCTCAGCTATGGCTGCTACATGCAAGCTGCATTAGCTATGTGGAACAAACAGAACCTCATGGAATGCAAACAAGGCATTTGTTTATCATATCTAACTGCTGTCATAACAGAGGTCAGCGTCACGTATCTTTCTTGTTAGGTTTTCTACACGTGGTTTCTCATTCCGTTCAAGAAGCAGCACTCGTCACTGGTGAATGGAAATCGATTTTTTTATCGACCAACACGCAGAGAGATCACAGACTTTCCTTCAACCAACACGCAAGGAGGTCACAGACTATAAACCTAGCATATTTAGTTCCTAACTCTCCAAGAGATGGAGACAGATTTGTATGGCAATACTGCAACCTAGACGGCAAGCTACGGAACTTCTTCAGAGACTTCTAATGTAAAAAAAAATACCCCGGGAAGTTCAAAGTGGGATAACGAATGTACGAAATGATAGACAGAACTTTCCTCTTTCATTTTATAGCAAAAGTATTACTTTACATGAAAAGCAGCACAAGACGCATGACAGCGTTGCCCGGCGAGATGTGGCATTTAAATGCCGACGTGCTATGTACGTCGCCCAGCACTGGAAGGTTAAGAAAACCTTTCATCTCCATTGTCCTAAGCCAAATGAATGCAGTTCACATCTCTATAATCATTCTGTGTTGAATTCTATTGTAAAAAATTTTCTGTTTATTTATTCATGTGAGAACTTGTACATTTAATGTGCAGAAACTTAAAAATTTGTTCCCTGGTGCATCATGAGATGGCAGAACAAGCCATTTTAACCCATATATAGGCAGGCCCTGTTTCGAGGTATTGTGTTGTTCTTGTAGCCTGGAAAGTGTTTGGAATTTATTTCTCCAGTGTCTGAGTCTGCATATTTTTGACTCTGTGCATGGTATCAGTTGCAGCTTGAGGGAGGTCAAGGAAGATTGTCCCTATGCTTAAATGAAAATAATGAAATATCCCGTTATGTAATTTTGTTGATTCTTATTTTTTTTGTCACGATCATGTGTGACAATTGTATGGAGCAGATTCCTTAGGAGCTAATATTCTCTGAGCTATTCAAGAGATTGTCCACCTTTTGTAGAACCTGGGGTTGATAGCAATGCCCCTATAATGATGAATCCCATAGCATCAGTTCACATATCCATTTTAACATTGCCTTCCCATTTACACTTAATTCTCTGAAGAGGTCTCTTCCTTTCAGGTTTCTCCATTTAAGTTCATATCTCTGTGGTCTAGTAGTCAAGAGTTCCTGGCTACAGATCCAGAGGTCCCGGGTTCGATTCCCTGCGCTACAAGCTTTTTTGAGAAGCAGTGGGTCTGGAACAAGGTCCACTCAGCCTCGTGAGAATAATTAAGGAGCTATTTCAAGGAAATAGCGGTTCCAATCTAGAAAACCGAAATTAACGGCCATGGGGATCTGTTGTGCTGACCATGTGGCACCCTCTGTCTGCAGAAGTTGGCACTAACTTCGCCAACAAGCGGCAGTTGCTTGGTCGATATAGTGCACTTGTGAACTACAGGCCATGGAGTTCTTTTTTTTTTTTCAGATGTGTTCTGCTGAACTCATTTTTGATCACCCTAATAATACAAGGTTAAGGATACAAATATTAATGATTCTTATTATGCAATTTCCTGTTACTTCCTTCCTGTTCAATCCAAATACTCTTATCAGTCATCCTGTTTTGTATTTAAGAATGATGTTTTGGTAGCTGGACTGTGTCTCTGTGTTCAGTTAAAAGCATTTTATCCAAATATTCTCCTCAGCATCCTATTCTTAAACATGTTAAATCTTTTTTCTTCTCATGGGGTGAGAGACCAAGTTTCACTCATATGGGACAAGAGAACAGTTATATTTTTATACATTGTGAGGTGATTTAATTGATGACAGAAATGGGCCTGTGTTGATTTGGCATGGTCTCACCCTAACCTTTGTGGATTTATTACCAGAAATTTAGCCAGGTATTTGTTTCAGTGTTTGAAATAAAACTGAATTCCTGTTTTGAAATTAAAACCATTTGGAGGTAGACCAGCACAGATTGGTGTTCTTTTGCAGATCAGACTTAGGGAGCAAATTTTAAGGGCTCACAGACACTAGATGAGAAGTGATTGCTTGATATTTCGTGCTGTTAAGGGAGGGTAACATTAAGATGGAACGTTGAGAGGATGGGAGGTAGATACAAATATTTCAGTATGGTGTCCAGTAGCAGGCTGCCCCTTTTAAATCTTAAGGGTTTTCTACCTAAGTGTTGAGTAATTAATGGACACTAATGGGTGTGTAGCCTTCAACTTGGTGTTAGTTGCTGCCTGTTAATATTAGGCTGAAATGAATTGTGCAGTTTTTATTTTTAAGAGGTATATCTGTTATATCTGATTTGTCTTCACCCTTGAAGCTGTATGCTTCATCTGACAAACATTGTGGGGTAGATTACTGTACATTAGGGATGTCTATGAAAAATGCTGTTTGTACCTCTGTAGCTGACCATGAATGTACACATCCTTTCTGTTTCATTATTTACTAATCATCCTGTCCTTAGACACTATATACAGGGAAGTCTCTATTGAAGGTTTCTGTAGGGAACAGTGGGATTTTATTTAATTTCCCCTGTGATGATGTAACAGTACACAATCATTTTGTATTTTCAGAATTCTGGGACAGTTACAGTAACTCTTCCTGAAGCAGCTGGTGCTCCTGCTGTCACCCCTGGTGTACGATCGAGGTATCCTGGGCTTGCTTCTCGGCAACTGCAATCTAATGCAGTTCCAGAAAATAATATGGTACAGCCACATGAGGATGTCAAAAGTAAGCTAACAGACTTTCAGTTTTCATGCCTGGTTATTGAGTGTATGTGTGTTGGTGGGGGTTTTTCCTTGGGGAATTTGCACTGTACTGCGGCAGCATTTCAGTTCTTTCTTGTTGCATTTTTAATTTCCTGGTAGCGTAGTTAGTTGAGGCACTATGCTACAAGCCGGAAGGTCGTGGGTTCAAGTCCTGATGAGGTCATTGGATTTTTTTTCAATTGACCTAACCCTTCCAACCATGCTAAGGCCCTGGGGTTAACTCATCCTCTAGCAGACTTGAGTAGCACGAATACTCTTGGAATATTGTTGGGGGTAAAGGGTGGCTGGCGCGTAGGGCTGACAACCTTGCCATCATCTATGAGCTGATTGTCTAGAAAATGTGGGAACCTCAACATCTTACAACCCTATGGTCCTCCACGGTCTCTTACAGGGATACCTTTACTTTACTTCTCACACCCATCTTGCTTTTCTTGAGTAGAATTCTGTGGAACACTGAAGTTTATCACATTGATTTTAAGTAAGATAAAGTGATGTGACCAAACAATTTGCTGTGATTCCATTACTGTATAGCTCCTGTGTGTATTTTTTGAACAGCCAGATTTCAGAACAGGCTGAAATTTGATGAACTGTTCAAAACATGCAGTGTTTTCTCATGTAATTTCTGAATTTAAACACTTGTGTCCTGAACCAGAGGCATATAAATTATTAATTCTTCATTTATATTGATAGAAACTAAAAGAGCGCCAGCCAGTTTTGTGTTAAGGTAGTTTGTTATACATATTCAGGTGGAGTCTACTAAGAGAAGTCCCATTAACATGGGTCCAGTTTGCGAAAGATTAAGGAGCCAGGGCAGTATTAAAGGCAGATAAAAATGTACCAGAAATAGTGGTTTTTGATGAAAGAATTCAATATCACTTCAGTACAAAACAAAAACAAGTGTTATTAATAATGGAGCATGATGCCAAAACTGTTCAGAGTGTCAGCCTGTGACTTGAATGCATGTCTGAGCTTGCTGTATTGTAAACTGTTCAGTGTGCCTTGAATGTGCATTTCAGTGCACTGTATTATGGAAGTTTTTACATTCTTAGAAATGTGTGGATTTTTTCAGATATATAAATCACCTAAGCATTGTGCTTCTATTTGTTCTTTGTATATAGACTAGTCCCTCCTCATGGCCCCAGAGATGACAGTAAAAGGGTTTAAATCACAGGATCTTGCTGCCCATGCAAGTGATCCTCCATGGCTGTCACAACAGATTTGCTAGTTAGGATAACATAATCTGTTGCCTGTCGTTAAAAATGAAGGTGATATTCTTCAGGGTGTAGGTTCATAATATATATTGTAACGTGTTTACGTTACTGAATAGGCTGTAGAGATCGTTAACT